AATATTCTAAGAGAATTTCCAATGGCATTCTAACTGGTAAAGAACTTACTTCAATAAATTCCCTTAACTAAAGCATCCAAAAATGGTAACCAAGAAAAGCTGTGTGTAACACAAAATGTCAATTTTCAAATTCCAAGGAATGTTACCAATGGGAAGCTCAACTGTAACAAAAATAAACTTATTGGGGCTAGGATCCAATAACCAACAAGGGTGGCCTTATGATACCACAGTCTGGGGCATAACTCAGATTATGCTGTGAGTCTTACTCTCACAAATTAATTAGATGGCTTTACTTGATTTCTATATTCTCCTTTTCAAAGAAGTCCCAGCAAATTATGCATTAAAAAGATAAATGAGTAAATTACCTAAACTTTTTCAAATCATTGTTATTTAAATTAAATTTTAAAGACAGAGACAGGTGGAACACTAAAAATAGAAATGAGAGAGCTAGGCAGTAGAATATTTTGGAATGAGATACTTATTTAGAAGCTGAATTTAAGTTCAAAGTGTTCAACTTGATTTTGTCAGATTGAAAATGAAGGTTACGTGGAGAAAGGCAAAACTCTGTAAAAGATGAGACTGAAAACTATTAAAAAGTTTTTTTAAGAGTACAAACAGAGTGACCATGGAGATGGCTAGATCAAAGAAAACATATGTTTACAATACTATTTCTGGCCAAAGAAAGGAAAAGAAATTAAGAGACAACAGGGATAAATCAAACAAAGGACATAGCTCTAAAATCTCCACAACTTATAAATCTAAAAATAACCTCATAATAAACTAAAATTTTTAATAGCAAATACTTCTGTCACCTGTCTGACTTTTTAAAATTGTGGTAAAATATACATAACATAAAATTTACATTAACTGTCTTTAAGTGTAAAGTTCAGTGGCATTATGTACATTCACAATGTTTTGTAACCATCATCACCATCCACATTCAGAACTTTTTCACCTTCCCAGACTGAAATCCTACCCATTAAACAAGCTGACTTTTTAAATGCTCCTTTTTTTTATTTTTCTTTCTGGCAAGAGAAGGTCATTTTAAAAAGAAAGCACCCAGCCAGGAGAATGTCTTTTGACTCTCAACATCCATAATTCCTTATACAGTCTGTACCTACATTCAAAAAAACTTAAGACTCATTAAACTTGATACTTAAGATTAAGTAACATATTATTTATGAATATATCTAATCATTCTTACAATAAATGTTCAATGAAAGCCTACTGCTTACTCTGAGATCCGACTATGAACAAGACAGACTTGGAGTTTGTAATCTAGTGTGAAAGGGGCAAAGTTAATAAATATGTTTACAAAGGTACCGAGATAGTGAACAATTGTGAAGAGGAGCAAATCCAGATACTGTGATCTAGGAAAGCCTCTCTGGGAGGCGACATCTAAAATGAGACCTGAAACTGCAAGTGTTTACATGCTTGATTAATCTTTTCCCCTCCCAAAGCACCTAGCGTCATGCCTTTCATATGGTAGGTAGTCAGTATAGCTTTCTTGGCCTCAATTTCCTCATTCCTGAAATGAACTTCCAAGATTCCTTCCAAAGACAAAATATGTTGATGTGGGGAGGGAAAACTACATATCAATGAAATGGACGTGGGGATGAGGACAGCAGAAGCAAAAATTAAGTTCAGAAATGACTGCAAGACCTTAACTCTCTGAAGCAGAATCCAGCGCAAAAGCATACAGATATACCAAAATCGCTTAGTTGCTATCTCAGATGACTTGCATCTTAGACAATACAGAAGCAGAAATTGTTCGTTCACTCAGCCTGAAGAAACAACACATACAGCTGGAGCATGGGAGGTTGAGGTGTGTGCTAGACTACAGTAAAGAGTTCAATTCTCATTTTCCTTGGGACTCTCACGGCGAGAGGCCGAAAAGGTCCCCCAGTTCTCTTGCTGCCAGAGCAACGGTACCAATCTGAGACAGGAGAGAATCATGTATCTCTTGCTCTTCAGTCTAAGGATTGAGGTCAGCCACCAATTGCAGCTAGGGTTTGAGAGAACAGTTCCAGATGATCAAAGATAAGAGCCTTCAATGGGGCGCCCCAGGAGCAAGCTACAGTAAGGGTCTTCCTTTTCCCCATCGGTATCTCCTTCTCGCCCTCAGCTTAACCCAAATGGGGCTAAGGGAGGGGCAGGGCCCGGGATGAGACCTTCGTGGGTGCCCTCCTCCCTACCCACTTGGTACACAGGAGAAACTGGGCACGTCCAGAGCCGCTGTGAAAAATCGGCCAGCTGAAGACACACCCGCATCTCAAGGAAGAGAAGTGGAAGGGAAAGGAGAGGAGCCAAAGAAAGAAGTGTAAGTTAGAGAGGCAGATGGAGAGCGGAGCAAAGGACGGTGCAGGTGAAAAATCTAAGTCGGTTCTTACCGTCAGTGGGAGACGCCATCTTCCAACCCATGTCACGTGACGTGGTCAACCGTCGGCGGGAAAGCTAGGACCCATAAGCCACGCCCCCAAAGAGAGACCCTATCCTCAACTCGCAGCCTTCTCGTTTCCCCGCCTCATAGGCGATCCTTGCCTAGCCCCGCCCCCAATGCTAGCCACACACACCTCTACCCTGGCGGCGACGGAGCGACTGCAAAATTCTTGGAGGGTTTTTATTTACTTTCCCCAGTGATGGGGTGGGGCCGCGGTCATCTTTGTAGCCAATCGGAGTTCCCGGTTAGGGGGCGTCTTCCCCGTGTGCTGAATATAGAGTACCCAAGTCAGGGGCGTCTTCCCTACCTCCGCCAACAGAATTTAACAAGATGGGAGAGGGGCGAGAGCTCTTTCACTTCTGACCAATCGCATATCCCTAAAGCTGGGAGTGAGGGGTGGGGTAAGAAGTTCTGGCGCGTGATTGGTTAGAGGAAATGGTCCTCTCCACCAATGAGAAGGTGCAGCAGGACAGAGGGGCGAGGTCTGGCAGTCGTAGTGCCTTTGGGGAATCACCCGCAGTAGAGGCACCGGGAGGCGGAGACTAGGGGGTCGAGAAGCATGGCGGCGGTAGTGGTGGCGTCGGCAGTGCGGGCTCGGATCCTGCAGGCGAGTGAAAGTGGCGCCGAGGGGTCGCGAAGCTAGAAATTGGGTCCCTTCCTTCCACTCTCTGAACCAACCCCTTCTTGGCAGACCCTCCTGTTCCCACTCGACCTGTGCGGCCCTGTCCCAGCCCCCTCACTCCGTATCCGTCGTCGTTGGTTCCGGTCCTGGACTATCACCCCTGGCCTCCCACCCCCGTCCTTTTACTCTTGAACCTCCCCTCATCCTGCTGTGGCCCCCTCTCCTCCAGCCCTATACCCCATTACTGATGTCACAACTCGCCCTCACCTCTCCTGGTCCGCCCACATTCTTTCTTTTTCACCTTTGCACCTGCTACCCCTCTCCCCAGAAACTCACCTCTGGTCACCTTTTTTAGAGCTCTTTCCCCTGCCTCGAGCGTCCAGATTGTTCCCCTCTCCCACCCTTTTTCACTGTCTATAATCCGAAGTAAAGGGAGGAGGAGGAGACACATGAGGGGCGAGGGTCAGTGAATGAACTTTGAATCTCCTAGGAGTGTACACTAGGTTTTCCCCCCAAAATAGTTATTTGCTGAGCTGTCTTCCTCAGCTATGGCTATTTGTATTTTCCACAGGCCATGGGGCTGTCCCCTTGCTTGCCATGACTTTCAGTTAAACTTAGCAAAGTTACAGTGTTCATGTTGGCAGTAAATAAGACACCAAATAAGGACACAGATTATGCTACCAGTCTGTTCCAAGCACATAAAAGGGACTAAACATCTCTAAAACAGGTGATAGAAAATAGGAGCCAAGAAGACAAGAAGTGCAAGTTCCAAGTTCCTGCCCCAAAGTCAGCTCTTAGTGGGCCAGCATATCCTCAACAGTGCCCATCAGGTGGATTGGGCACTGCAGAGAAGTCTGAAGCCAGTCTAAAGAGAGGCAAGAGCTCATGCCTGAGTCCTGTGATGTCTAACTCTGTTCATAGCTTTTCTTCTGTTGTTCACAGCTTAGCAAGGACTTAGAATATGAGGCAAGATTTACTGCAGGCAACATTGTTCAACCTGCAAGAAATATTGCCCTTTTACTCATTACGTCCACCCTGGGAACTTCTTCCTCTATGTTGCTGAACTTTTAGATAATAGTATATACCGGGTTTCAGTGAGTTCTACTGCAGAAACTTGTGCATTTTTAAGATTTTTAGCAGAGTCAGCAAAGGTTCATGTTTAAATATGCTGTTTGATGGGACAGTGTGGAGAGTGGATTGGAAGGGTTTGTTAGATCGTCTGGCTTCGCTCATATTTCTTGCTGTGATCCTACTTCTGTTTTTCTAGTACCTTGGTTTTTTTTCAATCATGGAGAAACAAAGTTTCCAGCCTATATTTTCCATTAGTAACTTCACTTGGAAATCTTTTACTGAAATTGACTTTTTTCCTTTGCCTCCTCTCCCTCCCTTCAATCACAACTAGTCATTGAGAGCTTTAGGAAGGTATTTTGTCTTTTGCATCAAGGAGAAGACTCTGCTTCATATGTACTTTATTTGGGAAACATATTTTCTGATTCTTTTGAAGAAACAGCTGAGTTGAACGGAAAAGAACTTAGCCAACCAATAGGTACTGTAATATGAAACTTCAATAGAGAGTAGTCTAGATTCTGACAGTCATGAATTTAGTAGACTATCAAACAGTGTGTTTTCAGTTATTTAAAGTACATCGTTAGCATATCTTCTCTGTTATGGTAGCTAGTAAAAGTTAGAACTTTTGTTCCTCATATTATTGCTGCCATTCAGTAAACCTGTCTTAGAGAGTCTCAGTGACTTGCATCATCGATGTAGTAGAAAGAGCACAGGCTTCAAAATCATACTTGGATTCTGTCCCAGCTCCATCATTGTATAGTTCCAAGAATATTTGTAAAGATTGGAATTAATGAATATAATGAAGTAAGTTACCCAACACTATGCTCTAAGGTCATTTAAGATCTCCCAACTCAGAACTGAATTCTGTCTTGGCATCCATCTCTATGTCAGGCTCTCTCCCCAGGCTTTGGGAAAGGAGAAGTAAATAAAATACTCATTGAAAGCTCCCTTATTGTAAAGCACTGATAAGTGCTAAGCAATAGGAGTACACAGGGTACTGCAGGAACAAACTAAACCTGTGCAGTTCAGGAAAAGCTTCTAAAAGGTCTTGGTCCTGGGCTTGAGTCTTGCAAGACTAGCAGGCCTTTAGCCAAGGGGAGAAGGGAGTTCCTGATAAACAGCAAGTACAAAATAAGCATCTAGAGAGTAAGAAGTTTGATGTGACTGAACATGGGATAGTTTCTTCAGCAACAGTGCCTGGGAAATGAAGAAAAGATAGGAGATCTAACCTGTCAACAACTATGTGATAATGTTTTATTATACCAATGCAGTGCCTTTTATGCCCTCTTGACAGCAGAGGCTGTGTGCAAGTGAAAAAATAAAACTAAGTGGCTAGAATGCTCAAGTTGGCTGATCCATGCATTTTTTTGCCTTGTAAGACAGTATATATGAAACAATATCAAGTGATTGCTTGGTGAGTTCTCATTCTTTCAGTCTACAAAATATTACTGAGTGCTTACTCTATTCCAGGAATGGTGCTAGGGGCTGAGAACACAACCATCTAGTGATCTAAGGGGAGAGAGACTTAATAATTAAACAAGCTATTATTCCATAATATGATAAGAGAAATAGAGGAATTCAGGTGTTTTTATGAACTCCACAATCAGGTACTTAGCACAGACCCTGAGATTGAGACTTAAAAACTTCCAAGTCTGCTACTTCTCTCATTCTGAGTTAACTTTGCTTCTCCTACTTCAGAGGAAACAGAAACAATCAAATATTCCTTTTTCTACTAGCAAACCTAGAAGACTGACCTGTACCTATACCCAAAATGATGGCTAAGTAGGGAGCAAAGGAGTAGGAGTGAGCCAAGCAAATGGGATGAAACAATTCCTGGCAAGAGGGAGCAGTACATGCAAGGGCAAAGAGAGCCAAAACATGTTCCAAATGGCTGGAGTATAGAGAGCAAGGAGGAAAGTGTTGACCTATGAAACTAGAGAAATAAAGATACTACGGAGAGTCTTCTAAGCAACATCAGATTAGTCTTTATCCCAAGGGCAGTGGAAAGCCATTGGAGGATTTTAAACAAGGGGGTGATCTGACCAGATTTGTGTTTTAGGAAGACCTTCTGGCTATGATGTGGAAACTAGATTCAGAAGGGTTAAGGCTGAAATCCAGATGAGAAACAATGACGGTATAGTGAGGGGAGGTGATGGCAGGAAGAGTAGAGAAAAAGGGGTGTAGTCAAAGACTTCTGAGGGAACAGATTGCTAGGACTTGTTTGATTCGCCGTAAAGAGAAAGGGAGGAGTGGGGTGACATTCAGGTTTCTGGTTGCACAACTAGGTGAGTAGCAATCCTGTTCACTGAAAGGTGGGTGTTTGAAAGCAGCACAGGTTGGTGGGGAGAAGATGAGGAGTTTGGCTTTTTCAGTGTATACCTAAACATGTCCAAGTAGAGATAAAATGAAGACACTTATCTTAAAAAGGAAGATTCTGGCTAAGGACACAGATTTGGGCATCATCAGGATCTAGATAATTAAGCCACAGAGTAGATGAAATTACCCGAGGAGAGTACGCAGAATGAGAAGGCCTAGGACCAGGCCTTGAGGAACTAACTCGAAGAGGCCAGGTAGAGGAGAATAAACCAGCAAAGAAGGTAGAGAAGTGACCCAAGAAATAGAAGATACTAGGGTATCACAGAAGACAAATGAAAAGGGGGTTCAGGAAGGAGGGCATGATTAACCATGTGTTATGTAAAATTTCTCAGGGCCAAGAGACCAAAGAAAGAGGCTGACAATTCCATATTTACATAAAGAGTTTATTAAGGGAATTTATATACAAGGCTTGTCTTGCCATGGATAACTTCCGTGCCACGTGGCAGGCACTAAGGGGTAATATAGGACAGGGCAGGATGAATGGGGGTACTGGGGTTTGAGATCCCCCAGAGAAGGGGAAAATGCTTTGCATGCTTATCTGCACAGGGCAGTGGCCTGCTCCAAGAACTAGCATATCGGGGGCATAGGGGCGGGTTCAGACAGTCTCTGAAGGGATTTTTGGGAAGCATTCTCTGTTCTGGTCAGGATCTAGCTGGCAGGTCTGGCAGATCTGGCAGGTCATGGAATAGTCTCTCCTCTATACCATGTCACCTCTACTGAGAGGTCAAGTACTACAAGAAGTCCATAGGGTGTAGGAAGTCACTGGTGTTTAGTCTTGAAGATTAGAGTAGATTGAACAGTTAGTGGGAGATGAGGAAATAAAGATAATTAGTATAGAGAACCCTTGCTTTTGGATGGAGAGAAGTTTAAGGTACAGAAAAGAAAGGATAATTGATGGAAGTGTCAGAGGCAGCAGGAAAGGTTGGCTTCAGAGCACAGGTGCAGAGATTAGCCTTAGATAGGAGGACAGACACCCCTTTAGTCAGTCCATAGATATTGATTGTGTACCTCTGTCTCCCAGTCACTTTGTCCTCACAGAGTTTGCTAGCTCCCTTCTCCATTATAGGAGGGAGGAAGGAAAAAAGGATGAGTATAACTGCAGGTCAGTTTTGTAGGTTTGCTTATAGGAAGTTGAGGACGTTCTCATCTGATGGTTTCTGTTTCCCCTGAAGTAGGAAAAATAAGGTCAGCTCCTAAGAGTAAGAGGGAAAGTAGCAAAGTAAGAAGTTTTAAAAGAATTGATAAGTTTTGAAACAGCGAGGAGTGAAAGCAAACAAGTATTTATAATAATAATATAATAATATTTAATGAACACCAACTATTTGCTAGCAGTTTTTCGTATTTGCAGTCTTGATCACAATAACTATGTAAAGTAGGTAAACAAGATAGATACAGTGCCTGCCTTCAAGAAACTTAGTCTTTTGGGTAACAGACAAATACCCAGGCAATTACAAAAGGGACAAAGAAACCTGATAGGGGAAGTATTGGCTGCTGTGGGAGTACAAAAAAGAGAGTACGTAATCTCGTCTGGGGCGGAGGGCAATCAGGCAATATAGCTGCCCAGTGGACCTTTCTTTTGTTTAGTAGATATTTATTAAATACCTACTATGTACCAGATTGGTATTGGGAGCATATCTGTAAGTAAGACACGATGGGCTCCTGGAGGGTTTTGGTGGTTTAAAATAGCTTTTGTGGGGCATGGACGAAGAAGCAGACTAGGCTTTTGTCTGCTGGTCCTTTGGACAGTGCCACAGGTGTAGTTCTTGCATTTTGTGCAGCTCTAAACTTTGGGTTAACATGGCCTCTCTTCAAACAAGATAATAGATTATTAGATTCAAGTCCCAAGTATTTCAGATGGCTTGCTTTGATTAGAATATTTCTTAAGTCAACTTCCATAGTATATATACAAACTATTTTTTAGAGAGTTATTTTATTACAACTGATCCCCCTCCTAATTTTCTAATTATATCCTATTAAATATTACCTACACAACGAAGTTTTTTCCTATAAGGTACATGAGGCATTTAAAAAATAGCTTATTGAAATAAAATTGGCATATACTGTATATATTTAAAATATACAATTGGGTAAGCTTTAATATTTGTATACACCTGTGAAATCATCATCACAATCAAGATATGAATAGATTCATACCTACTCCTCTCTACCTCCTCCATCATCTTTAGGCAAACACTGATCTCCTTTCTGATACTACAGATTAGTTTACATTTTTTAGTTTTATATAAATGAAATCATACAGTATGTACTCTTTTTGTCTTACTCAATATAATTATTATATATGTATATAATAATACATTTATTATATATATGAATATTATAATAATAGAATGTATATAATAATACATTCTTTTTTATTCTGAGTAGTTTTCCAGTGTATGGATATACCACATTAGTTTCCCTATTTACCTATACAGTGGTGGACATTTGTTTTTTTTTCTAAATTTTGGGTTATTACAAAATATATTTGTGTTTGTATGGGAGTAGTAAACTTACATTTGATACTTGGTTATGTACTACCTTATATTCAACACCTATTGTGTTAGATACCATGCCGAATGTTTTCATATTGTCAGATTTATGGTGACTGCATTTTCCAGACCAAAAATTAGGAAAATATGGACTAATGACAAAAAAAAATTTTAAATCAGGACTGCCCTGGAAATTGAGAACATGATGATTATGGTTTATAGTCTCATGTCTTTTCTCTTTAGACTATATGATCCTTCAGAAAAACATCAAGTCCTTTTTCATATATCCACAGTAATATTAAGCATATAGTATAATGTTAAGCATACAGTAGCCATTCACTAAGTTTTTAATAATTTTCTGCTTTTGTTCATCAAAATAATAATTCTTTTACCTCACAGGTTTCTTCCAAGTTAAACTCCACTTGGTATTCAGCATCTTCCTTCTCTTCTTCTTCAGTGGTGAGTTTATTTGGCACTAAAGGTTGACTTTTAAGAAGAAATCTAGGGTAATTTTTGAGTATTCCCATTTATATTCTTTATGTAATTGTGATCAGAGTGCATGTGAAACTTTGTATCTTGATCTTCTTAATTTAATATTATATCTATTGTATTGTAAGCATTTTCAGTATTACAAGATGGTCTTTATATGTGGTTATGATTTTAATGGCCGCATAGTATTTCATCAAGTAGATATAACCTGAGTTAACTACTAATTTCCTATATAACATTTAGATTGCTTCAGTTTTTCAGTATTATTAAACAAACATTTATTTTTAGTTTTTTTCTTCTTTTAGATTATTTCTCTTCTGAAATAAGATTACTGTGTCAAAAGATAGAAACATTTTTTGGCTTCTGGAAATTTAGTTGACCCTGCCAGATAGTTTATTCTTGACAACTTTAGAGCTGTTTTTACAGGCCTTCTGTCTTGTCAGCCATTTGCAGTACCTAAAATCTAATAAATAAGGACTGGTGCTCAAAATCCTTTATGTATAGAAGCATGCACACATTGTAACACAGTAGTCCTTTATCTTTTTGTTCCACAGACCCCTTTGAAAATTTAATGAAAATAAGCTTCTTCTCAAAAAAATTCACATAGATAAAAACATTAAAAAATTTTTTTGACCATAAAGGTAAGACATCATCATGGTAATGTGACAGAAAGTCAGCTGGGCTGACAAGTTACAGTAGCTAATATTTGTTAACACAAAGTCTGTGACATTTTTTAGAATAAGCTTTACAAGTGACATGTGTTTACTCATGAAGTTTCACTGTGTAATTAGCTGGGAATTTCCCATTTTCAGAGAGGTCATAGTATTTGAGAGGCTCTGCGACATATTAACAAACAGTATAAACAAATATATTGTGTATCTTTTATCTAATGGTAACATTTCTAGAGAGCAGTAGATTCAGTTATCGAATGGAATTCTTTCTTTGTGAAAGGAAAAGAAAATTAAGGCAATGAACTAATACAAAGTTTTGTGTTATTTTTTCCCCCCAGCCAACTATAAAGCTCTTCATTGATGGGAAATTTGTTGAATCCAAAAGTGACAAATGGATTGACATCCACAACCCAGTAAGCAAAGCTGCTTAAACTGACTAGCCTAGAATTCTGGGCACATGGTGGGAAAATGGGGACCTGGTTGACTATTGTGAAGCACACAGTGCTGCCTTTGTGACTAGATGAAAAACAGAGGTGGGGCAGGGGCAAAGAATGATGTGCTGCTTTTTCCCATCAGGCCACCAATGAGGTTATTGGTCGGGTCCCTCAGGCCACCAAAGCTGAAATGGATGCAGCTGTTGCTTCCTGCAAACGTGCTTTTCCCACATGGGCAGACACTTCAGTATTAAGCCGTCAGCAGGTCCTGCTCCGCTATCAACAACTTATTAAAGAAAACTTGGTAAGAAATCTGAATGGTATCATTTTCCAAACTGTTGCTTAGGGATACTTGTCACATTCACAGAGGCCCTTTCAGCTGCATTCCCTCACTCTACAATCCAGAGAGACATAGATCATGGCTCTCTGCCTTATACTGCTTCTCCCCTGTTTTCTTCTTCTTTGGCTGCCTGAGAACTAAAAGGAGGCACACCCTTGCATTGGTTTCTATTTGTGTTTTCTTCCTAGAAAGAAATTGCCAGGTTAATCACACTGGAACAAGGGAAGACCCTAGCTGATGCTGAAGGAGATGTGTTTCGAGGCCTTCGTAAGCTGGGAGTCCTTCATGGGGAGTTTCAGGGACTTTTGGGAAGGAGCAAAGGAAGATGGGAGGCAAAGATCTCAGAAAGAGGGATTGCTTCTTTTATGTAGATTTTGTTATCCCATGATATCTTTTTTAATGTTTGTGGAAAATGGCAATACTTCTCAGTGATCTATGAAATTGGTTTACTTTATTGTTTTACTCAAATGATCTTCCAGTAGGTATGTGCATTTCACTTCCCTTTTCCCATTTAGAGAATCTCATTTTGCATACCTCCTTCACATGGAAGGGCAAGTCAGTGTATCTTTCCTCTGTCATTGGCCTGAGCCATTCTCTGTCCTCAGAGCTGATTAGAGCATGACAAAGCTAAATAGTGCACAATGTGGGCAGCTCATGGCCTGACTACTTCTTCTCTTGCAGAGGTGGTTGAGCATGCCTGTAGTGTGACATCCCTCATGCTGGGAGAGACCATGCCATCCATCACCAAAGACATGGACCTTTATTCCTACCGTCTGCCTCTAGGGGTGTGTGCAGGCATTGCTCCATTCAATTTTCCTGCTATGATCCCCCTTTGGATGTTTCCCATGGCCATGGTGTGTGGAAATACCTTCTTAATGAAACCATCAGAGCGAGTCCCTGGAGCAACTATGCTTCTTGCTAAGTTGCTCCAGGACTCTGGTGCCCCTGTTGGAACACTGAATATCATCCACGGACAACATGAAGGTAACTGCCCTTCAGTACATGGCACTTAATCTGGCTTCCAAAAAATCAAGGTGTTGAGTGGTGATGGGGTGTTTTAGAATGAAAAACCTAGGAAGGAAGGGGTTTACTAACAGTAACCACCATGAAGGAAATGTTTGTTGACTGTTTTGCCATCTCTGTGTCCTATGGTGAGTAACTAGGGAGTAGCAGTCCTTGCCTTACAGAATATATGGGGACAAAGAAATATGGATTAGAGCAAGACACAGATAAGATTAAAAAGAAAGTTTTTACTTCAGTATTGAGAGAATTTATGAGGATATTTAACTCAGAATTTATAGACTTCAGAAAGGCTATAAATTCTATATAAGTCTATATAACAATAGCTAGTACTTAAAAAGTCCTTATGTTTCAGGCATTGTTCTTATGCTTTTCATATGTTATCTCATTTAATCTTTACAACAGCCCTTTGATGTAAGCACTATTATTTTTCCTTTTTACAGATGAGAAAATTGAGGCATAATGAAATTAAGTAATTTGCCCAAAGTCACACTGCTAGAAACAATTGAAGCCAAGCTGTGTGTACCTGGGAAGGCTGACTCTAGATTTTACTTTTAAATACAGTCATGAGCCACACAACGATGTTTCGGTCAACAGCAGACCACAAATATGACAGTGATCTCAAAAGATTATAATGGAGCTGAAAAATTCCTATTGCCTAGTTGCATCACAGCCATTGTAATGTTATAGTGTAACACATTACTCATGTGTTTGTAGTGATGCTGGTGTAAACAAACCTACTGTACTGCCAGTTGTATAAAAGTATAGCACATAAAATTATGTACAGTATGTAATACTTGATAATCATAATAAATGACTAACTGGCTTATGTATTTACTACACTATACTTTTTATTGTTATTTTAGATTGTATTCTTCCTTCTTAACAAAGAAGTTTGCTATAAAACAGTATACTATGTTATGCTAACAGCAGCCTCATGCATCTCGTGTTTACTGCACCTCTTGATTGCATCATTTTGTCTTGTGTTTAATAGCATGTAGTTTTGTATAGAAACATACCGTATAGGCTTGTAGCCTAGGAGCAATTGGCTATACCAGGGGTCCCCATCCCCCAGACCGTGGACCAGTACCGACTGGTCCATGCCCTGTTAGGAAGGAACCAGGCCACACAGCAGGAAGTGAGCGGTGGGCCAGTGAGTGAAGCTTCATCTGTATTTGCAGCCGCTCCCCAGCACTAGCATCACTGCCTCAGCTCCACCTCAGATCATCAGGCATTAGATTCTCATAGGAGCACCTGTTCCTGCTGCCAAAAAGGTTGGGGACTGCAGGGCTATACCATATAGCCTCAGCATGTGGTAGGCTATACCATCTAGGTTTGTGTAAGTGCACTCTATGATGTTTGCCCAACGACAAGATTGCCTAATGATAAATTTCTCAGAATGTGTCCCTGTTTTAAGCATCATATGACTGTACTATGTTATATTATCTCTCACATGAGGACACAGTAGTATCTGAGAGTCCTGGTATATGGTTACAGTTGAGGAAATATCACATTCTTAAAGGACAAAAGAAGTGTTGAGTATTGAAGGGCTGTTATTTTGGAGGAAAATAGGAATTGTAGCCTTTGGAATTAGAAGTGGAAATTGTGGAATATCAAATGGGAAAAATAATGAAAGAGGCTAAATAGAATTTGTAGTTTAAAGAATTAAAAGAACAAGGAAAGACAGAACTAATTCTAGGGTAGAAACAAAAATATGAAAACTTTTTCATAGCAGTGGGAAAAGGAGAAATTTGCCATGTTGAGAGGGCCATAGCCATTTGTTCCTTTGCGGTGATCATTTATTTTTCTTCCTAAAGCTGTTAACTTTATTTGCGATCATCCGGATATCAAAGCAATCAGCTTTGTGGGATCCAACCAGGCAGGAGAGTACATCTTCGAGAGAGGGTCAAGACATGGCAAGAGAGTTCAAGCCAATATGGTGACTTCTTATTCCTTTTTTGGCCCCTGCTCAAACTCTGTTATATATAGTTAAATTACCTAAAACAGCCCATCAGCAGAGGGGCAACTCATCCACTCTAATGCCAGTGTTTCTTTATCCCTATTTCATCTGAAATATCTTTTCCTTTAACAATGAACCTTATGATGAGTTTTATTCTGTCACTTTAATTACCTTTATCTTATACAATGAATCTTGGTATCGAAGGGCACATTTCTCCCTGAGAATGTCGTTCAGATTTTTTGGGCTTTAGCAGTAACAAATTCTGGTTCTGGCCCTGCTTCCCTCGTATCATGCTTTTCTAGCCCTTCATCCTTCTTTCTTTTGAGGGGTATCCTAACTATTAATGTCAAAATATGATCTTCCCTAAGAGTCCAAGGCTGTTTAAGGCACTGGAAACAGCCCAATATCCCCATATGAGATGCGTGGTTTGGTTGGCCGCATAGTTTTGCTGTTCTCTTACTAGCCCCTTGTCTTATACTTAGCAGTTCTTTGGTACTAAAATACAATTGCTACTTTCTCACCCTTTAGCTAATGTTCATAAAGGATAACCACCTATGCACAAGGGAGACTTTATGATATGCCCACTTATTTCTTGTCATGGCCGAATGTGCTTTGGCCAGTTTGACTTAAGTCCTAACCAGCTCATCATGAATTTATTGAGTGAATTCTGTGTCTAACAGTATACTATGTGTAATGGGATAAAATTAAGTTAGCTGACATGGTACTTATTTATCCATGCACTCAACTATAGTTGTATCTGGAAATGTGTGTGGAAATGACCATATGTTATCATACATAGAAGTTCATAAGGCTATATATCTAGAAGCAAGTCAGTCTGGGGAAGCTTTTTCCAGAAACTCTTTATCAGGAGAGGTCTACCTCTTATTTTGCCTTTTTACTGGCCACTGGCATTATTACTGGCAGCTCTTTATTTATACTGCTCTTCATGTAACTGGAAACCCCAGCAGATAACAAATTCTTTCCTATCTAACCGAGGAAAGAGAAGGGAGTTCTTGGTTCCTGGATGCAGTGTTTAGCTTGTCAGTTTGATGTAATGTGATGATTGAGGCTCTTTGTTTGTTTTGATCTAAATAAACATATCAGCTTATTAGATGAGCAAGTGAAAAAAAGTAACCTGGACACTTGTTCAATGTTACCAAGACTTTAGCAGTATGGAGATAATAAGTTTATCCTCAGAGTAACAAAGGATAAATTCTCTAATCCTTACCTTAAATTCTCATTTGAAATTTCAAATTCTTTGCCTGATTTCTCAGCCTAATCGTATTTTGCCAAGGAAGATTCATGTACTTTCTGTATTTCCTCAGGGAGCCAAAAATCATGGGGTAGTCATGCCAGATGCCAATAAAGAAAATACCCTGAACCAGGTGGTCGGGGCAGCATTTGGAGCTGCTGGTCAGCGCTGCATGGCTCTTTCAACAGCCATCCTTGTGGGGGAAGCTAAGAAGTGGCTGCCAGAGCTGGTGGAGCGTGCCAAAAGCCTGAGAGTCAATGCAGGTAATTGGTTATCTGCTTCGCTCCTTTAGACTTTGCATCAAAGGCACTAAGCTCTTGGTTTTAGCATTGCTCTTGGCCAGTGGAAGCAATCATGTCTGCCCTTACTGAAGCAGGGCCTGGTTTGGAACCCCTTAGTAGAGGCCTCAAGCGTCCCCAGCCTCACCTTTCCTTCCCCTATAGCTTAACAATAGATTATCCCCTGCGGCTTGATCCAGAGCTTGGAACATCCTCTGACTTGCCCTGAAATTTATGATTAATGCCTTTATGCTTACTGATCACAATCCTCTAGCATTCTTTCCAGACTACTCCCATCTTTGTCCCTGAGTCGCTAATGCCACCAGAGGACCATATTGCTGGAGGAACAGCTCCATGAAGCATAACAGACCCCCTGGAATCATCACATAGCCACTGGATTAATGACTAGATTATCCTTTAAATACCGTAAGCCAGACTGAGAAGGCAAGGCAGTTTTCCAAGGTGTTAACCTGCTGCCTTCTCAGATTACTGGTGCTCTGACAGTAAACGCTTATTCTAAAAAGCCCAACTCCTGTGTTGATCTATTGAGGTCTATTGGCTGAGCCCCGGACTCAGTTGCCCTCTGGTTATATTACTGTTGCCTCTTTGTACTGTAGTTGTCATTTGGATTCATCTTTAGTTGGCAATCAGAATTTATGTTAACGAGTCTTCAACACTTCTGTGTTATTTTACAGGAGACCAGCCTGGAGCTGATCTGGGCCCTCTGATCACCCCCCAGGCTAAAGAGCGAGTCTGTAATCTAATTGATAGTGGAACAAAGGAAGGAGCCTCCATTCTTCTTGATGGTCGAAAAATTAAAGTCAAAGGCTATGAAAATGGCAACTTTGTTGGACCAACCATCATTTCTAATGTTAAGGTGAACAACTCTGGATTATTTTGTTCACAAATATGAGAGCTGAAGGCCCTTTGGAGGCTATGGAATCTCATCTCTCCAATTTATAAATGAAGAGCATTTAATAACTGGGGACCTCATCTCTTGCCAAGATTACTCAGTTATTTCATCTAGAATCTGAATGAACCTCCCTTCTCATCCCCAATCTCTTTCCACTCTACTAGCAGCCAGGAAACTTTCCATAAAGGGCTAGATAGTAAAATTTTTTGGCTTTGCAGGGATATATATTCTCTGTCACAACTACTCAACTCTTGACATCTTAGTGTGAAAGCAGCCATTAACATTGTGTGGCTATGTTCCAATAAAACTTTATGGAAAATGAAATTTTAACTTTACATTCCATGATTGATTTTTTTTCAGCCTTTATGTAGAGCTTTGCATAGTGGCAGTATGACAGCCAATGAGGTTTATCTGAGGCACAATTATTGCTAATTGAAAAAATATAGAAATTATCCCTAACTTGTTGGCTGTACAAAAACAAGCACATTTGGCCCACAGGCCATATTTTGCCAACCCCTCTCTTACATTATACTTGTTACTTATTTCTTTAATTTTTTTCTTCCCACTCCTCCTTGCTGCCTAGCTCATAGTTACTGCAGTGTCTCCGTCAACATATCAGCCACCCAGTATTTATTAAGTATCTACTCTCTGTCCTAAATTTATCTGCATCTTCACCAGAAAGTGACGAAAGAAAAAGAATCGATTTGTCAATTTTTATTTATCAAAACTCTACAAGTCTCTCAACTAAAATTAATGAGTAAATTGAGGTTAGGAGGCTTTCTTTGAAATACATATGTCCCCACCAATCCTACTATAATCCTGAATAATTGTTAAATGTAAATGTAGCAGAAATTGTGGAATTTCTTGCTTCAAAACCATAGAGGAAAAATCCACCTATCAGCAGTAAGCACAGCTGACTAGCAGCAGTGGTGAAGGATATTTTGATTGTTTAATGTGACCTGATATCAAAATATAAAGTACAGACTCATTGGAAGGCAAAGGAGTAAATGAGAATGGATTGTTCAGTTACAGAAAACTTAGCACAGGGTTTCTTTAAACAAAAATTCTCCTGTGGTGTTTTTAATATATATCTGATTTATAAAAAAATGATTTTTCATGTAACTTTTCAGTAACATAACAATTGTATAAACCAGTTATATAAGTATAAAAGAGGAAGCTAGTGATGGTTCATGAGACCTAAAAATACAGTGCTTAAAGGAAAGGAATGTAGTTGTACTTAATAGGAATTTCAAGTTGTTTATATGATTGGTAGCTTGGAAGATGGAATACAGCAAGAAAGCACTTTTTAAAAAATAGGTGGTTTAAAATGAAAAGAGATTACTAACATGAAAGCCATCCATGTAAACAGTGGGTAATACAGTACCAAATAAGCATAAAATACTGACTTTTTTTTCCTGGATGCATCACTCCTGGCAGCCAAATATGACCTGTTACAAAGAAGAGATTTTTGGTCCAGTTCTTGTGGTTCTGGAGACAGACACTTTGGATGAAGCCATCAAGATTGTAAATGACAATCCATATGGAAATGGAACTGCCATCTTTACCACCAATGGAGCCACTGCTCGGAAATATTCCCACTTGGTGGATGTTGGACAGGTTTGTGAACAAAGTTTTAGGAAGTTCTTGTAGTCATTTACTGTTAACTATCTAGGGGAGACGGTAAAGAGTAATCAGTTGCTGCCCC